GAGAGAGAGAGAGAGAGACTCGAGGCATACCTCATGACAGAACAGATTCGCGATATTCTTCTCGATGCCGGCGCTGTTGAGGTTGGCGTTGAGGGCACGGGTAGCCCTCGACAGCACCACAACCATCGCGTAGATATCAATGGCCGCGTCGGCCAGTCGTCTCAAAAGCATTTGTTCGTGAATTATATTCTTCTTGTATTTCATCAACAGGTGTTCCGCAGACTTCCCGAAGTATTGTATGTTTTTGGACACCAGCGCCGCCTCATCCCTGAGCTCCGGGTGTACGTACTCCTGGAGGGAGGGCCCACTCGACAGGCCCACCGATCGGGCGAACCGTTTGGTGCCCTCACCAAAGATCATACCCAAGTTGGCCACCGGGTTCTGCATCGCCCTCTGGAGTTCCTTCAGGTGTCCGCCCGCGTACTGCAGACCTACGGGTGCCGCACAGGTATGCAGTGTTAGATGATATCGGAATTAATCATAATTATGTATAGATTTACTGTACGTTTACAGCACTCGCGCCATACGTGTGGACACAGTATTCACTCATTATTACAAAGTTTTGAAAACTTTTAACTAAACTAATGGTAGAGGGGTTTGTGTGACCCGAGCCCTACCAGTAATTATATTACTGGCCAAACACGGTGTCCATACGTTTGACACAACAAACACGAGTGGGAACTGTATGTCAACACCACTACTGACCGGTGAGGGACACGAATAGCCGGAGAATATCGTTGGTTCCCTCGAATATACGGAATATACGGATGTCTCGCAAAAACTTCTCGAGTCCCGTCTCCCGCATATACCCCATGCCTCCCAGTATTTGTATGGACTCGTCGCACACATACCAGGCCGCCTCCGAGGCGTATACCTTGCTAATGGCCGCCTCCAACTGGTAGTCCGTAAACCCCTTATCCATAACACCACTGAAAACCACACAAACATTGCATTAGTTTTAAAATTATTAATAAATAAGGGTTTAGTTGTGAGTATAGGGCTATGGGTTTGGGTTAGGG